CATGAGGGCTCTGCCCTCATAATCTAATCCCCTCAAAAAGGTCCCACCTCTTAAAATCACTACAATGGGGATTTGGTTTTGACATGAGTTTTGAATGGACACAAACATTTGGACCACAGCAATGAATGATATTGCTATATACATTTGCATACAAGTCAGTTCTCTTGGGTACATAACTAGAAGCTGAGTCATATGGTAACTCTATGGCTAATTTTTTGAGGAACTGTTTTCCACAGAGGCTGCACCATTTGACATTGCCACCAGAAATTTTTGAGAGCTCCAGTTTCTCCACATCCTTGCCAATCTTTGTTATTGTCTTTTTTTTTTTTAAATATAGCCATCCTAGTGGGTGTGAAGTGATATCTCATTGTGGGTTTGATTTGCATTTCCCTAAAGAGTAATCATGTTGAGCATCTTTTTGTTTACTTATTAATCATTTGTATATCTTCTTTGGTGAATTGTCTGTTCAAATCCTTTATCCATTTTTATTTATTTGTTACCAGCTGGCTGGTACAGGGATCTGAACCCTTGACTTTGGTGTTATCAGTGCCATGTTCTAACCAACTGAGCTAACTGGCCAGCCCTACCCATTTCTTAATGTGGTTGTTGTTTATTGTTGAATTATAAGAGTTCTTTATACATTCCAGAAACTAGACTTTATCAGAGTTATGATTTGTATTGGTCTGGTTTCTTTCTAATTTGGTCTTGAGGTCTTTCTTTCAAGAGTGGCCATAGGTAAGATAATCATTCTCAAGGAAAGCCCTGATGTGGGGAAAGTCAGATTTGGGTGTGTCAATCAGGTGAGACACAATGAGAAGGTGAAATCAAAATGCATAAAACAGAAGAAATTTTTCTTACAACTCCCAGAGACTTTAGGAAAGTCCAGATATGGCAGGAAGTTCACCAGCAGTTGGGGAGTGAGAGAGAGAGAGAGAGAGAGAGAGAGAAAGAGAGAGAGAGAGGCCTGTGAGACTAAGCCTTTATTAAGGTCTATGGGCATTATTCCTTAGGCTTTCCCTCAGGGGTCATGGATTGGATAATGGATTGGAAAACACTTGAGAAGCCAAGATATGGAACCAACCTAAATGTTCATTGACAGATGACTGAATAAGGAAAATGTGATATATATACAAAATGGAATACCACTCAGCCATAAAAAAGAATGAAATTCTGCCATTCACAGCAATATGGATAAGCTTGGAGAAAATTATGTTAAGTAAAATAAGCCAGGCACAGAAAGAGAAATACCACATGTCCTCATTTATAAGTAGGAGCTAATAAATAAATAAATAAACAAATGAAAGAAAGAAAAAAAGAAAGAAAGAGAAAGAAAGAATCACAATAATACATAACTCTGAAAAGTAAGAACAGAACTGTGGTTATTAAAGGTGGGAAAGGGGGAGGAGGAGGGGAAGGGAGGTTAGTGAGAAATTGGTTAAGGGTCACAAAGAATGATTACATTTTATAAAGATGAGGATATTAATTATCCTGATTTGATCATCACATATTGCATACAGGTATTGATATTCAACTCTGTATCCCACAAATATGTATAATCAATTATGTTTCAATTTTTTAAAAAAGAAAAAGGAAAAAGAAAACATTTAAGAAGGGAGAAACTTACCTACATGACTTGTGTTGACCATTAGGTTTTATTGTGGTCAGCAGCTATGACATGTGTTGGGTTTTGGGTCAGTGGGATGAGGAAGCAGGCTGTATCACAAACAATCACATAGAGAGGGAAGTTTTAACTCGGCCAAAGGGTATGGCTGGGTTTCAAACAACTTATGTCAGGCCTAAAACTGAATGCTGAGGCAGCAACTAAATTAAACAAATTTATTACAATCAGATACATGATTTTCAAAAATTTTTTCCCATTCTGTGGATAATATTTTCACTTTCTTGATAGTGTCCTTTAACAAATAGACATACTTTTAAAAGATAGAAGTGCTTTGTGACTGATCTTAGAGTAAAAGCTTTCAGTTTTTCACTGTTGAGTATGATGATAGCTGTGGGCTTTTTATATATGACCTTTATTATGTCATATATTATGTCAAATTTCCTTCTATTCCTAGTTGAGAGTTTTTGTTTTTATCATGAAAGAGTGCTGAATTCTGTCAAATGTTTTTTTCTGTTTATTGAGATGCTTGTGTGATTTTATCCTTTATTATGTTAATGAGGTATATCACATTAATTGATTTTCAGTTAAATCAAGGAGGTTGAACCATCCTTGCCTCCCAGGGACAAATCCCACTTGGTCATAGTGTATGACCCTTTAAATGTGATGTTGGAAACGTAGGGGAAAATCTTCATGACATTGGTCTTGGCAATTATTTCATGGATATGATAACATACGTACATACAACAAAACCCAAAAATAAACAAGTAGGACTATATCAAACTAAAATCTTCTGCATAGCAAAGGAAAAAACCAACAGATTGAAAAGGCTACCTATGAAATGTGAAAAAATTGCAAACTATATACCTGATAAGAAGTTAATCTGCAAAATATATAAGGAAGTCTTGCAACTCAATAGTAAAAAGATTGATAAGGCAACTAAACATGGGCTAAGAACTTGAATAGACATTTTTCCAAAGAAGACATAGAAATGGCCAACAGGCATACAAAAAAAAAATGTTCAATGTCACTAATCATCAGGGAAATGAAAATCAAAACTGCAATGAGATACCACCTTACACCTGTCGGGATGGCTATTATCAAAAACAAAAAACAATAAGTGTTGGTGAGGATGTGGAGAAATTAGAACTCTTGGGTGCAGCTGCTATGAAAAACAATATGGAAGTTCCTCAAAAAATTAAAAAGAGAACTGCCATATGATCCAGCAATCCTACTTCTGGGTATTTTTTTTTTCCTTTTTGTCTTTTTTCGTGACCGGTAACGGGATCGCAACCCTCAGTGTCACGCCCGTACCACGACCGGCAACGGGATCGCAACCCTCGGTGTCGCGCCCACACCGCGCTCAACCAGTGAGCAGACAGGTCTCTATATGGGATCCGAACCCTCGGCAGGAGCGCCACCGCACTCCCAAGCACTGCACTCTACTGAGTGTGCCACCGGGCCGGCCCCTACTTCTGGGTATTTATACAAAAGAATTGAAATCAGAATCTCAGAGAGATACTAGCACTCCTATGTTCATTGCAGCACTATTCACAATAGCCAAGATGTGAAAACAACCTAAATGTCCAGCAACAGATAAATAAAGAAGATGTAGTATACACATACAATGGAAAACTATTCAGCCTTTAAAAAGAAGGAAATTCTGCAATATGTGACAACATGGATGAACCTTGAGGACGTGTGCTAAGTGAAATAAGCCAATCACAGAAAGACAAATGACATATGATTCCACATATACAAGGATTCAAGAGAGTCAAATTCACAGAACCAAAGAGTGGAATGGTGGTTACCAGGCGTTGGAATGAGGGCAAAATGGGGAGATTTTAATCAACAGGAATAAAGTTTCAGTCAAGCAAGATAAATAAACTCTAGAGAGGTGTTATACAACATTGCACCTATGGTCAGCAATGATGTACTGTACTCTTAAAATTTTGTTAAGAGGGTATATATCATATTAAGTGCTCTTACCACAATAGTTATAAAAAAAAAAAGTTCAGTGGGGACGAAATGTTTGCATACTTGCCAAGGGCAAGTCAGGGAAAAGTTTTTTCTTCCAAAATACACATGCAAGCACAAATTAGAAAAAAAAGAAAGATGACAAAACCCAGGCACAGGATTGGAAATTAACTTTGCCAAGATCTGGACAGTTCTGCTGTGTTTACTAAAATAAGCAAACTCCGAATTGAATCAAATAATATGTCTTAATTATGAGATAATGAAATAAACTTCAAAAAGGCATAAGTGAGTGACAGTTTTATTGTTAAACTTATAATACAGAAGTAGTTTATGAAGTAATTTCAGATGACAGATTTAGTTGCTTTCCTTAGAACTAAAAGCTTCAAATACCAGTTTAAACTTTAACACAGAACATCTACATGTGAAGCTTTAGTCTCAGGCCTGGAGCAGCTGTGAAATGAAAGCTACCACTCCAATGTAGTCCTTGGATATCAGTATATTCCCCTTCACCTTCCACCCTGAAATACAAAAAAAATAAGTTTGTTCATTAACCAAGACCAAGAATTCTACATTCCAGATATAAGTTGTTCCAGTATATAACATACAATGTCTGAAGCATTATATCTTTCTGCTTTCAAATTTTGATTTAAAACACACATCCTGCTTTCACATCCTACAAAAAACATACTATTCTAAACAAAATTTATCATTAATACAAATTTTGCTGTCCAAGATTTTAGGATCACATAAGCTAAGTTTATGTAAAACCAAAACACTCAGTTAAAAACTGAAAAGTTTATATTTGTTATCTGGCTTAATTAGTTCATTCATTTATTCAACAAATATCTCTTGACCATCCACCATGTTTGAGGTGCTGTGCTCTGTGCTGGTGTTTTCTTGGGCTCTTCAGAGTGGTGAAAATGCACTTTACATAAAGAAACAGAATTTTATCCCTTAGGTTAGATTTTTGTCCCTTTAATAACATCAGTGGAAAATGTTTATTTGTTATTGTCACAAACTTGGAGCTGAAATAGGTGAACACTTTTCTGCCCTCCTCATAATGTATTCACATCAACCACTTCATAAAAATTAGGATGGATTTTCAATTCTAGAAATAATAAAGGGGTATTTATAAATGAACTTGAACCTCTGGATGGCGTGGCATGTATTTAGTGTGAAGATTGAGCTTGTAAAGCTGACTCATGTTTCATTTCACTTTTATTTTTTCTATAAGCAGAAGCTCAGAAAGGACAGCAGTGGGTACATTTCTACAATTTGAAAATTAACTAATTAAAAAAAATTAGCCTAGTAAAAATGTACATACATCAGGTCAAAATGAAATAAATAATTATGAAATTACCCCAAGGCTGATTTTTAAAAAGTATACCAAGGTATTTCAAGTGAAAGTAATTTTGGGCCTAAATTTTCTCAATAATTGAAACAAGCTTTTCATTTCCAATATGATTACACAAATTTCTATATGAATAGAGATGAAAAGAAGATAAATTAAAAGTCTAATGGATTATCACCAAGAATGATATTCCCTTTTGGAGGCTTATCATGGTCTTAGCCTCTCTTATAACCTTTCCCTGCCCACCCCCCCCAAATAACCCAATGTTTCTTAGAAACTAAATGTAGTACAAAAGAATATTTGGCATTAACCAAATATAATATTAAAACAAACACGCCTAAAAAGAATCTTTTAGAACTACAGTGATTTTTTTTATTTTAGGCTTACCTATTTTCATTGAAGTTTCCAGTGTACTTTGCTCCAGTTGGGAATGTGTAAGTCCCCAATCCATGAAACATATTGTCCTTAAACTGTCCTTCATATACTGCTCCTGAAAAATGTTCAAGTTTTCCAAAACCATTCATCTGTTTGTAACAAAGGAAATGACCTCAGAAACTTACCTTCAGTTTCCCCAGAACATTTTTATTTATTTATTTATTTTATTTTAACTTCTCAGTATATACATTGTAGTTGATTTTTGCGACCCTTTACCCATTCCTCTTCCCTCCCCACCCCCCACATCATATCTGCCCAGAACCTTTTAAAATGTCTACCTATAAGTCTATCATCTGCTTAGTTATTATTTAATCACCTTATTTCCATAAAAATGAGACAACATTTTTAGCGTTGTTCTTCATCTGTGTTGGTAAAGCCCACTAAATCAAATGTTCCTGATCTGGGGCATTTGAACATCTGTGTGCACCATGATGATAATAGGTGTCCTCAAGATACCTTGAGTATATCAGAAAACTTAAAGGGCAACCAGTTTAGTTAGCTCAGGAACCAGTACAAAGTAGTTGTTAAGAATACAAATTTGGATTTAAGTTGACCCGGGTACTCACTCTTGTTTTATCACTTATTAGCTGCGTAAGAAACCCAAGCCTGGTTTCCCTCATTTGTAAAATAGGCATGTGTGGTTTTTGTTTTGTTTTGTTTTGTTTTTTGGTAGTTGGCTGGAACAGGGATCCAAATCCTTGACCTTGGTGTTAACAGCACCAAGCTCTCCCAAGTGAGCTAACTGGCCAGCCCTATAATAGGTGTATTAATGGCACCTCCCTCATGAGGTTGTTACGAGGAGCAAACGAGAAAATTATACAATGTGTTTAGCTTTACTCAATGAATAGAAGATGAGAAAGATGATAATGAAGATGACTAGCTCTCTGCATGAGTTTAATATTACTCATATGTTAATAAATGCTAATAGTCTATATGTACCTCTACATATATGTATATATAATATATGTTAATGCATGTTAATATATTGTACTCATTATATGTGTTTTTGATTAATGGTGAAATGCTTGGAATCATTTAACACATAAGGTTATCTACCCACTGTCTGTCTGTCTGTCTGTCTGTCTGTCTATCTCTCTCTCTCCTTTTTTTTGGCAGCTGGCTGGTACAGAGATTGAACCCTGGACCTTGGTGTTATTAGCACCATGCTGTGAGCAACTGAGTAACCAGCCAGCCCCTATCCACTGTCAATATTAAAAAACAATAATACCTTGTCATCTTTCCAGCTTCCTGTGTAGACAATCCCATTAGGAGTGGTGTGAACACCTATTCCATTTCTCTCAAAGATTCCAGAAGATGCTCTTGTACAATCACCATCTAAACAAGGGGGAAATACTAAAGATGATAAAAGGGAGCTCTGCTGGACTATATTTATGTCTGGGCCTAATCACAGGTGCACCCTAGGGGTGTCTTTGGCTCCCTAGCATCGAAACCAATGAGACTAAAGATGAGGAGATCCATGGACCTTGTAACATCCTGTAACCATTGGGACCCAAGGGTCAGGAAGACTGACAGGCCACATAGATTTCCAAGGCATATACTGTCTAGACTTAACACTGGAGTTTGATTTAAAATCTGTTCATCTATTAAAATTTCTATGTTATTTTATTTAATGGAGTTAATATTCCATAATGGTTTTATAAAATGTCTCTTTTTTTTTTTATTCTTAAGCTATTTAATTTTACGTATAGAAAAAGTAATTGAAACGTATGCTTACCATACT